ATATCAAGATCGGATTAAGGGGAATGTGCTTAAGAGATTGTATATACCCTATATTTTCCTATTCTTGTTGAGAAAGACAAGAGACCTTTCATGAAGATTCTATGAAGGATTAATAGCGGCAATAAATTTATAAATTGCCCCGAGCACCATTTAGTCGCAAGATAGTAAGATATTGATACAGACATATTTGGAATCAACCCAGTTTAGAAAGATGAAGTTCTTTTCATAGCTGTGAACTTCAACGGTGGTTGGGATTCACCAATTTAGAAATCGGTAAAGATTTTACCAATGGATAGTAAAATAATATTTAACTTTTGTAGTCCCGAGTTTTTTTAAATGTTATTTAACCCCTTAGCGCTCAGATTTTTTTTAAAAAAAACCGGCCAAAAAAAAACAATTTTTTTTTATGTAAAAAAAAAACACTTTAGAACATTGTCTTTTTTTTTTTTGGTGGACAATTTTGATATACTGCTTGTTTGTTCAATGGAAAAAAGCTATATTCAGAGATGCCAACTGCTCCGGACAAGCCAAAAAAAAAAAAAAAAAACGGNAAAAAAAAAAAAAAAAAACGGTAAATACCTACAAGTAAATTTTGCAAATATTTGACTATTTTTGCTTGCTTATTAAAAGGTATAGCATGACAAAATATAACTATAAAGTGGTGAATTATATAAGCTTACGAATTATTTAAAAATAGTAGTGGATAAAAATCTATTAAATTGATTTTATTAAACCGCGAATCACAATTGATAAACTATCACTTTAAAATATATATTTGCTGTCCGGAGCAAGTTGGCATCTCCGTATATTTTATTCTTGAATAAATAAGTGATACAGCTAACAATCCTATGTAAATGATAAATATCAATAAAACGTTTTTTTTCTTAGCTTTCACATTGTTATTTTCAATTCTCGATTCTATTCGAGAGTGAGAAATTATAGCGGCATAAAATACAACGCCGCTCGAATTATCTCGAGTGTGCACAGTTGGGCCTGTTTAGCGCGCTCGAATTAACTCGAGCGCACAAGTTAAGGGGTTAAACTAATGTAAATACTAAATCATTTAAAATTCATATTCATATTAAAATATTGCATATAATAAACTTGCTTTTGTTGTTGACTTATTCCACGTGGTCTAACTGCTGGCTACACCTAGTGCGGGAGCTCGAGAATCTTCAAAATATAGAATACAGGATGAGGACTAGAGTTAATGCAGGCCTACCAACTACTACGCTTTTTGCAAAATATGTCATAGGGTGATAGACATTTAAAAACCAAAGCTTTCAGAATATTTTTGGTAATTTTACGAACATTTAATACAGACATGCCAACTTGCTCCGGACGGTAAATAAATATTTTCAAGTGGTAGTTTATAAATTGTGATTCCTGGTTTGATAAATTCAATTTAGTAGATTTTTATCCACCACTATTTCTAAATATTTTGTAGGCTTATATACTTCACTACTTTGTAATAGTTATTTCATGCTATACCTTTTAAAAAGCAAGCAAAAATAGTCAAATATTTGCAAAATTTAGTTTGTAGTTATTTACCGTTTCTTTAATTATTGTGGCGTGTCCGGAGCAGTTGGCATCTCTGTTAATAGCCTCACTAAGATATAAGAGATGCAAACTTGCTCCGGACAGCAAATATATATTTTAAAATGGTAGTTTATCAATTGTGATTCTTGGTTAAATAAACTCAATTTAGTAGATTTTTATCCACCACTATTTCTAAATAATTCGTAGGTTTATACAATTCGTCACTTTATGGTATTTATGTCATGCTAAACCTTTTAAAAAGCAAGTTAAAATAGTCAAATATTTGCAAAATTTACTTTGTAGTTATTTACCGTTTTTTTATTTTATTTATTTGTGTCCGGAACAGTTGGCATCTCTGCGATATAGAGCTGGAGCAAAGTGGCTTTGCTTATGAGCTTTTAAATTATTTATATACAGTGGTGTGGAAAATAAGTTTAAATTAATAAAAAATAATGCATTAAAACATTAACTTATCCACCACTAGAATAAATGTTTACAAAAAGTTCATATGAAACATCACTTTGCTCCAGCTTTTTCGTGGTAAGGCTTCAAAATGTAGGCAAAATTAATAAAAATTCTGAACGCTATAAAATATTTTGCAAAAAGCATAGCAGTTTCCAGTCCTGATTATCTAAAACTTAATGCTATTAGTCGAAATTCAGAAGGTTGCAAATTAATTGATCTTATAGCTATGTGTTTAAATTGTTAATTTACCTTGGTTAACTCGGACACTAATAATTTAATTATTTAAATATAAGATCTTACAAACGAATGCATAAGTTATAATTTTCTAAAAATCTGTTTGTTTCAAAAAATTTTGCTTTAGCTCACTTCCACTGATAAAAATAAATTGCAACACCCTCAAATGGTTGGAGCCGCTGTTATTATATTTATTCCTTTAACTTCTTGAAATACGAATTTCATTCAATTTCTAAAAAAATATTTGCTGATGAAAATGGTCTATTTGCTTATTCTTTGTTAATTTTTTACTGGGAATCGATAAATGCATTGGACTTATGAAGATTTTTTTTTTCAAATTATATAATACCATTTTGAATAAGTTACGACTAATTTTCTAAAATACACGCTACGAGCTTAACAAATGGAGTTGATCCGACTTTAGTAAGCTCTAAAAAAAGTTTACTCCTTAAATTTAAATTTACTTATGACTAAAAGTATATATCTAAGAAATATTGATATTGCATATAAAGTTGAATTGACTATATATTTTAGTGCCCGAAAAATATTTGAATAAGCGTAATTGTATTTCACAGATGACTTAATTCATATTGAATACGAAATGGAAATAATTACATTGGCAGTTTAGTTGTTTACTTAGCTTTGAAAAAGCGTTGATTTTATCTATAACGAACTTCGTTCAGGAAGCATAATTTTTTCCCATTTTGATTTCTATGTGCAATTTGTTTCGTCATATCACGATGAATGGGTAAAGGGCTACAATGGCCTAAAGCACCTAGGCCAAAACCTTATGATTGACTGACTGCAATGGTGACATTTTTCAAAAGTGGTCGTAATTATCCTTATTTTTCAATTTTCACTATTTCATTCGCTGCCAATTTATAAAAACTTTTTCAGAAAGCGTAACAGTCGGCATCCCTGCAGGTTGAACCTTTTAAAAAGTTGGAAAATTAACAGAAAATATAAAAAAATTTTGTTTGTAGATTTATACTTTTTTTTTTTTTTTTTTTGAATTCAGAGTAATTGGCATCTCTGCATTGAACTAACTTTGATTAACTAATTAGAATCAAAACGAAAGCAAAAATAAGTCTGTCAAAATAGCCGTGCTAGCATTTAAGCTATAGCTTTTTATTTATTTATTTTTCCCATGCGAGGGTTTTAATGTTGTCCCAAAAAGATTAATAATGCTGGGTGCCAGTCTCAGAAACGGATGAAAGCAAATATATACCAAGACGAAAAGTAAGCAAAAACTAATATGAAAATCATTTCTTTTTTGCTTGTTTTCGGGAAAATTAAAATATCCAAAACATTAAAATACCGCGAAGTATTTTTTAACAGTTATAATCAATAAATATTTAATAGAGTATATTGGATCAAATTTCAATATATAAATTTATATAAACCTTTTTTTATTTTACATCAGATAAATAAAATCGTTGCCCTGGTATTTACTGTTCTTAAAATTAAAAAATGTGGTAGGAAAATAAGATGTAAGTTTATATTTACCAGTATGCTTAAAAAAAGAAAGTTTGTATTTTTATTATAAGAATATTAACATCACTTTTTCAGTTTTCTAAGCCTTGATTATAAAGAGTTTTTAATTTAGAAAAATAAATGCTTTTTAATTACATTAATGGTGTATAAAATAAATAAACTAATTTGGTGAATAAAATAATTTTACAAGTTTTATAAGCACCTGGAAAAAATTAAATTAACTGATCTTAAAAAAAAGCTCAACATTTCTTAATATATATGGAATTAAATTCTTTCACTATCGAATTAATTTTCACAACCGCTGCTTTCAGGTCTATATATATTTACTTAAGATTATATAAAATATTCTGGTAGCTGTCAACATAATAATATTTTTAAAAAATATGCATTAATATTGCTAGTCCCTTTTAATTTTTTTAAGGCGCAATTGAACCCTTTTTTATGAAACGTTAAAAACCAAGATTATGCAAACATAAATAATAGCAAAAAACTAAAAAAAAAATTTTTTTTTTTAATTCCTACAAGCGCATTAATTGATGCGTCTGTTTATGTTTATTTAAGTATAGCTCATACCCACATTTTCCCGTGTCAGAATTTGATATCTTATATTTCGTTTACAAATTCAAGAAAATACAAAAGTAATGAAGAATTATTTTGGAAATCTATGTAAATACAAAATGCAGTTGAAATTAATTCTCTAAAATTGGAATCAGATTTTCTTTAATCTCACCTTACAATTGAAAAACAAAATAATTATTTATTTAATAAAATGTAGAATTTATTACAGAAATTCAAAAAAATATTTACAGTAATGTTTTCGTAATTTGAAGAATAATTATTTCATTTAAAAAAAAATCCTTAAGTTCCAAAAAAAAAGAAGAAAAAAAAAAGAACGTTAGACCTTAATTCTTTCTGTAATTCAAAAACAGAAATAAATAAAAAAAAAATCGAATTTTTTATTAAAATAAAAATAAAACATTCTCAATATTCTTTTATAATTCAAAGAAATGCAATAAATATCTTATCATCTCTGCATTAAAAAAATACAGATGAACATTTAAAAATATATACAAGGGATTGCTACAAAACAGCCCACGCCATCAAAATATACCGGTACAGGCGACCTTCAAAAAGTTTGAAGTACCCCTACCCCAACCCCTTTTTGGAACAAGGGAGCACCTCTCAGGTGTGAAGAACTTATTCCCGATCCCCAGAGTGTTTGTTTATAATCAGTTTAAAAGAGAAGATAAACAAAGACAGTTTTATACCTGCTTGTTCTTTGTGGTGAACCTTCCTGTTCGAAGGGGGTGTAATAACCCTCTTCCGCATTGAGGAGGGGTTCTTCGAAGGGGTGAACACACTTGACAAACAAACAAAACAATTCCTCACATGGCATTCGAAAAAGATGACACTATTTCAACCACATGTCTTCGCATTCCGGCATACACACACCGAACTGCTGCTGCCGCTACCGGCAGAAACACAACTTCTGCAAGACGTCACAGCCGCCGCACTGTGACGTCACTTAGGCATCGATTCGCTCAGGTCTTGGTGGGGGCATAGGTGAGTGGGAATGCTTTCTAGCAATTACGTTGAGTTGAATGGTGGGATAATTAATATAAGGGGCCCTATACACTCGCCTAGCCGGCGTCATTTTGGCTACAACTTCGACAAAAATGAATTGCTTTTGTCTTAAAATGTTTCTTAACGCTAAAAGGCTTTACTGAAATTTTTCGTAACTATTTCTTTTCTTATCTAGCGATTTTTATTATCTTTGAAAGATGGTTATTCCAATTTATTAAATTATTCCTTAATATTGATTTATGTGAACGAAAAATTCATTTGAATTGTAGTAAAGAAATCATTACCTAAAACACCAGCAGTTAACCTTTCGACACAAAATTCTTAAACATAATTTTCACGCTTTTTTCATTATTTTATGCATTATTTTAATTATTTTTAGCGGTTTAATAATGGTTATGAGATCATTGTAATCATTATTAGCAACATGAAACTTGGGTGTCTTTTTCTGCGTAAAAAGTAAAATTTTCCAAATACTTTCTCACTTTCGAACATTAATTTTTCAAATTCGCACTTACTTGCAGTTATTTAGATTATAGAGAAACAGTTATTCATCAGTGAAATTTCTTTAATTTACAAAATCAATTATTGATAAACTTTTAAATGTGAATAGAAAAAAAATTCTCGAACTATTTTTTTTTTTTAAATTTTATTTTAGTAAAATTATAATTCCGATAACCAATCAGATTTTTTCAGTAACTTTTAGACATTTTTTTTTAAAAATACCAAAATAAATTTTTGCTTGTAATTAGAGCGCTAGAAAAAAAACATATATGTATAAAAGGGACACCTGTGCCCCACCTGAATCAGGGGGTTAATAGTGGAAGTCATTTAAAATTCTGACTATTGGCCAAAAAAATTATTTTAATTTAAAAATAAAAAGCTTTTATCTCCTGCCTTTTATTTTCTTTAGTTAATAAATTTATTTTTATTCCATTCAATTTTCTATAATGAAAATTTTAATGAGAAATATGAACTATACAAATAGTATGTAAGAATATTTTTAAACAACTCACAAACTCCTCCCTTCCCTTTAATGATCATGTCATCTTTAAACGACTCCCACTTATTTTTAATTAATAAAGAAGCCAAGTTAACTCTTTGATCAGGTAGGTAGGTATTTTATTTACGTCGCCTTAGAGCTACACACTGGGCTATTGGCGACGGTTTGGGAAACATCCCTGAAGATGATCCTCTGCGTAGGGGATGACTACCCTGCTTTGGCAGCCCGACGACCTGCGCGCTAAGTCGAGCAAGCACTTTGCTGTAGTACAGTTAAACGAGGACCGATACCACACACCCTCGGTCCTTACGCAGACTGATCCAAGGGGTCACCTACCCGCTTACTGACCGCAGCCTGTGATGTTTGACTACGGTGTTCTACTGAGAACCGCGTCTTTTCGATCAGTCCACTGTGGGACTAACTCTTTGATGAAGATGGGGCACTGGGGGGGGGATCTCTCCGGCAGAGCTGTATCACCTGCCATGTGCTAAGCGTAGATGTAGCTGGTTCGATTCCCGCTGTTACCCTGGATGTATCTTCGTGTTGTTCTCTGTATTGTGCTATCTGTTCTTTTATTTGACAAAGGTTTATAAGTCTAAATTGAACAAAGCCTGCAGATGTACGTAAATTTAATAAACAGATGGGATACCGGTGTCCCTGTCATAAATATCGCCCCCTTTGCTCTAATTACAAGAAAATATATTTTGGTTTTATTTTTTTAATACAAAAAAGAGTTTAATAAAAAAAATCTATCAGGTTATCGGAATTATATTTTTATTAGAACATAATTCCTAATAAAGTAGTTTGGAAAAAAAATTTCATTCATATTCAACAAATTATCAATAGTTGATTTCGTAAATTAAAGAAATTTCAATGATGGATTACTGTTTCTCTTAAATCTAAATAACCGAAAATTTAAAAAATTATTGTTTGGAAGTGAGCCGCGTTCTGAAGAACTCGGAAAAAGATACTAGTGTTTCATTTAATAATTTATTTAATTCATAACCATAAATTATTAAAATGCTAAATATAATGTTTTTCAATTATTTTGACCTAAATTAATACAAAATAAGGAAAGAAGTATAGAAAATTTGCTTGACCCTTTGCACTCTTAGTTCTTTAAAATGCTTTCGCAACTAATATAAGCACTATATCATTTTAAGTACACTACACAGTATTTTTATATCATTTTTAAATAATGTGGTTACTAATAATTAACGCATAAAAATTTTTAATTTTAGAGTGATGAATATTGATGGCGCCTCAGAGGCAACATCGGACTGCAAATGGTTAATAAAAATTTCAGCAACTAGAGTCAGATTTTTAGGCAGTGAACTGATCCAACAGTAGAATAACAAAGATATTTTGTTTTCTTATACATTCTTATTTTAAATTTATCTACTAATTCCTTAATTCTTCATTTTTAATTTATCTACTAACTTTCATTGACTATTTTTGAATTAACAAAAATTTCGTTTTCATTTTAGCTTCGAACCAGGCTGTTTCACCATTTGAAAATTTAGCCGATTTCTTATTCATACATACCAACAATTGTCATTTTAACAAAAATTTTCTTGAATTTTTAAAGGGAGCAAATTGTATCTCACCAGTATTTTCGATTTCGTAAATTTAATTTACAAAAATATTGTTCGCCGCTATTTATGAAAAATGTCAGAAACTATGACAGACTTTATGATCTTACAATAAGCAGTCTCCAGCTTGCGCAAATAACCTCAACCTCCTTCACCTGACTTACTCATGGATAGAAGGAAAGGGGAATTGACCAAAGGTGATCCCCGCCTCGGGAGTATATCACCCTTCTTTTTATACTTCATTTGAACTCCGAAGTAGGACAATACAGTCGGATCTCTATTTAACGAAGTCACAAAATCCCGATAATAAGTTCGTTGTATGGAAAATTCGTTAGATAGAAAATTACCTTTTGAAATACTTAAGCGACACAAACCAGGTTTTAAATTCATAAACACTAGACATAATTAAAACAGCAATTGATACACCTATATATTGTGAACTAGTATCTGCTATTTATTTTATAAATCTTTACCAGAAAAGAAATCTACATGGAAAGCAAGAATAGAGCCAAACATTATCCAGTACATGCTATATACATTTTCTACTAAAAAAAAGCTAAATTTATGTATAAAATTATAGCTGCATTTATTATAAAAGTGATTTTAAACATGCATTTCCACATGCGTTCTTAAGTTTAATTACTACTGATAAATTCTGTTAATTTTCTCTGAGTTTTTCGTTTGAGAAGTGAAATAGATTTTACTGCTTTCTGTAAAAGTTAAGTGGCTTCCAAGGGCACCGGCAGAACAATATAAAAGGGGGTGCAACCCTCTAACAAACTAACCCCCCCCCCAAAAAAAAAATTAAAAATATTCTGTTATTACATTTTGTTTTGTTATTACATATACTACTTTCATTTGTTAATTTTTTTCATCTATTTTAGTGGCGAAAATTCTTATTAATCCCTGGAATACATCGATTTAGTTGTTCAGGCCACACCGTTTTATCCAGCTCTAGCGGAGGCTATCAAAATTGGCCTAACTCTTCCAGCTACTTAGTGCACTATTGAATGCACTTTTAGTACAATGCGACGCATCAAAACATGGAATCGGTCTAAAATGTCTCACGAGAGATTAAGTACTTTGTGCATGATCAGTGCGCATAAGAAAAGAATCAACGACTCAGAATTCATTGAGAAAGTTATAAACAGATTTGGACTGCTAACAAGACGATTACATTTCTTGTTTGATTAAACAACTTTTTAATTGTTATCTATCAATATTTACTTAATTATTTATTTTTGAATAAAAACATTTTTAATAAAAATTTTTTACAGCCAAATTATTTTTCTGTATCTCTTTAATTGTTTAAAAAAAATCCAGGGGGGTGCAAGTGCACCGCCCTGCCAGCGCACTTGGTGGCTTCGCATATCAATTCAAGGTCATTCCCCTCCTAAAATTCGTTAACAAGTTTGAAATGTTCTAAAATATTTTGGACAAAATGGAAAGTGAATCTCTAAGTAAAGTTCGTTTAATAGAAAATTCGTTTCGTTATTTGGAAGTTATTTTACGAAGAAATTTCCAAAATGTTTTTGGTTCCTCGAAAAAAATCGCAAATTAGAAAAATTCGCAAAATGGAATAGAAGTAGAATAGAAGTCTGAAATAGAGGTCTGACTTAAATAGAAGTCTGACTGAATGTTTTTAAACGTATTGTCCGTTACCGCTTATAGTACTTCTCTCTCTCTCTGACCTGCACTTGCTGCCATTACTTCAATTGCCCACGAGCTCTAACATCGCTGATGAGATGCAGCGATCTGTTCCGTTCTCGGCAAACGAATTTATGAGACAGAATTTAGGCAGAATTTTGAAAGAATCGGAGCATTTCTGAAAATCCTCATTACTCGATAGTTGAAGTGGCATTTTATTCAATTGAATATTCTTTTCTTAGGAAGCAATGGTCAAAATTAAATTAAAACAATTCACTAAACAAGCCATTGCCCAAACCTTGATACCACTTTAAACATTTTGGGTGCAAGGATGGCATGCTTGTTTACAGCTCTCGAACACAGTGCTTTTACTATTCTTCAAGCATTTGACAAACATCCTACGCTTTTTTTTCACTCAAAAAAAAAAAAAAAAAAAAAAAAAAAAAAAAAAAAAAAAAAAANGAAAGTAATAGCTCGATTGTATCATTTGTTTCAATATTTTTTTTCTTCGGAAAAAAGCATATCTAACTACCGAAATATGTCTCTACGATTCATAATGTAGTAAAGCTGTTAAGTTGACCATCCTGGAATTGCATTTCTTTTTTTAACTAAGCTATAAATTATGCAAGGAAATTCCGA